AACACCGGCACCACAGGGAGTATGATCGCCATGCTGGCTCCTCCCGGCACACCAGCGACGAGCCCCCACGCCGCTCGGCAAAGCAGCACCCACGAGAATCTGGCCGCCATGAGCCCCGTGGCCATGGGCCTTCAGCTGGCCCCAAGAAGGCGCAGCAGTCCGAGTCCCGCGCGTCTTATGGCCCCAGCTCCGCTGAGTATGCCCCGTCATCCCGCCCCGCTGCTCACCACCATGGCACTGAGACCCCCAAGGCACAGAAACCTTCCCAGCCGCACGGGTCAGCCACACCAGCGCCGAAGTCGGAGCCCCTGGCACACCCACAGCAGCCTGCGGCCAGGCAGCAGCAGGCAGGGCAGCCGGCAGCACGGCAGCAGCCGGCAGCACGCCAGGCTGCCCAGCCAGCAAGCTCAGCACAGCCCGAGACCAGGGGCAGGACACAGGGACCCCCCTCATCCCGGCCACCGCAGCAGCAGCCAGGGCCGGCCCAGGCAGCAGGGAAGGCACCGGCCACACTCCATGCACAGCCGGGCGGACACCCAGCACCGGCGGTGAGTATGGGTGTAGCTGGCCAGGCTGCCTCCTGATCCCACAGCTCTGCCTGGGATCRGCACAGCAGGCTGTGGCCAGGGGCTGGCAAGGGAAGGGCTGGGGATGGGAGCCATGGGTCAAAGTGTATCCCACTCATATGCCCACTACAGCCACCCCTGGGTGATGTGGGAGCTGTCATCACTTCCAGGAGACTCAGGACTATGCCACTATGTCCTGGATCCCTTGCTGCCTCTTTTGGGGTTGTGGAGCAATGATCAGGGGCTTCAGTGTCTCCTCCCAGCCTGGGCCACCCCCAGAGGATGCTCTACAGGGAGGGTGAGCCCTGAGACCTGTTTTCCCCATTCCAGACAAAAGCGGAGCCAACGGACACGTCCAAACCTGCAGCAAAAGTGCCACAGCAGCCGGGGAGAGCGCCGTCAGCGCAGCCCCTGGGAGCAGCAGGTCAGTGAGCCCCAGTGGTCCTGTGTCATTTATCCTCCACCATGTCAGCTGCCTGGCACCCCAAAGCTCAGTCGAGCTCCCCCAGCTGGGCCTGTCCCCTGCTAACAGTGGCTTCCTTTGTCCCCCAGCAGACAGCAAGGCCGGTCCAAGGGCAGCCGGGCCACGTGGTCCCGCGGGCATGGCCACGGGGCAGCCCGGTGGGGAAGGAGAGAGCGTCTTCTCCAAAATCCTGCCAGGGGGGGCAGCGGAACAAGCAGGCAAACTGACTGAAGGTGAGGGCTGCTCCCGGGACGGGGACAGGGTGGTGATGCTCTTCTGTGTCAAGATGGAGTCAAGCACTTGGGGATGGCTGGATGCAGCCAGTGGGATGCAGTGCTCCCAGTTTGGGGCCTAGGGTGGTGGAGGGCCAGGGTCCCTATGCCATACTGACATCTCTTCTGGCTTTCCCACAGCGGTGTCAGCTTTCGGCAAGAAGTTCACTTCGTTCTGGTGAAAACGGCACAAGGTGAGTTGCAGCCAGCAACAAGTGGTGCGCCATGGGCTCTCCCTGCCCCTGCCATGCCTGATGCCCTGTTCCCTTGCTCCCTCCTATTGCAGGAGTTTGGGAAGTGAGTGAAGATTGAGTCGTTGCAGTGGAAAAACCTATGAAGAAGCCAATGAATTCAGCACGCRGCGCCAGACTCTGAGTATAACGGTGAGTGTGGAGTATACCTGCACCCAAGTCCTCTCCACCATGGCAGTCCTGAGGTTCCAGCAGCATCACTGTCCCCTCAGTAYCTGCTGAGTCCTGCCTTGCCACACTAGCAGCCCCCAGTCTGCGAAAGACGTWGTGCACCATCCTATTTGTGCTGGGCCACTGATCCTCATCTTTATCYCCAAGTGCCAGCCCCAAGCCACAGCATGGGGCTTGGCCTTGTTCCCCAGTCCCAGCAGCGCTGGTGCAGACCCCGGGTTTCCAGGGAAGGTTTGGGCTGCCCAGGCTCTGCTCTGGGAGCCCATCCAGCGCGGGGGCGGGCGGGGGCGGCRGCAGCTGCTCCGCCGGCAGTGCTTCTTGGCTCTCTGGGACCCTTYCCTCGGGCCAGCGCTGCTGCTCGGCGGGATCCCTTCCGCAGGGAGGGGCTGCTCGGACTAACGCCTCTCCCTCTGTCTCTCGCAAGCTTTTGAAAGCAGGGCGATTCCTGGATGCTGGACCAAACGGCGGCCGAGCAGGGGCCCGGCGGACGCCCCGGGGCGGGTGCCCCCCACGCCTGGCGAGCAGCTCCGGCGCGGCACACGGCGAGCCCCGGCAGCTGCCCTGAGGGGATGGGCCTGATCCGGACCGTCGGGTCAGGCCCCGTAGGTGGGCTACGGCCCTTTCTCAAGATTATACGCAGAGTTGCTCCCTATGAACCCCAGCTCTGGCCTCTTCATAGGTTTTTCCCCCCCGCGAGCCGAGGGCTGGGCGCCGTGGGCGCCGCTCCTCCTTCCCGACCCCACCCGCCCCGCCGGGGCCGTCCCCGCGCCCCCTGCACTGCGGCTGCTCCCGGCCCCGCCGGGGAGCCCCGGAGCGCGTCAGCTAGGACCTAACACTGTTTCACTACCGAAATACGAGGCCATAGGACTCTTGACAGGCGGCGCGGCCGGCTGGGCGCGTGTCCCGAAGCCATTGGAAGCATTGAAAGGGCCGCGCTCGCCCTCGCCACGCAGCCAGCGCGCCTGCCGCCGGGCACCCCTTTTCTTTCAAGAACAGCCTTAATCATCCCACTTTGATTTCTGTGTATACCTCATCCGCACCGGGGGGTGGGGGGGGGGGCACGGGGCGTCGTCAGGGGGGGTCCTTTTTTCTTCTCSGTTTCTTTGGGTTCATTTTCTTTTGGTTTCGGGGTTTTATTTTTCTAAAGTTTATACCAAATCCTCTTCCCTCTTTGCTTTGTGCGATGAGTTAGCACACGGGCTGTCGTCTGTAGAAGCAATAGAGTGCAGGAGGCTACAAAAGAGCACAAATCCCGTGGAACAAGATCAGGAGAGCTTTGCCTCCGGCAGTATCCTTCCTTTTACTGTGCAATCCAAGTCCTTCTCAAGCCATTTTGCGGGGACGGCCGGCGCAGCGGCCGGCGGCCACAGCCTACTCGCCCTGCCAGGAGGGGATTCCCGGGGGGGAGGCAGCCCGAGGAGGGGGCTCGCCCGCGCCCCGCCGCCTCCCCGCGCTGGCAGCGCCCCGCCGGCACCCCCGTGGCGGGGGGCAGCCGCCCGCTCACCCGCCTGATGTTCTATGCAACGAAATAACACGACTCCAGAACAAGACCTGTGAATAGCTAATCAGTTCAATGTCGCGCCTAAGGGTTCCATCGCAAAGCGTGCCGCTGAGCGACCCGAGAACTATTCTGTACCGACCACCCGTGCGTATGAATTCGTGGCATGTTCGACCCACGGAGGGCCACTTTGCCAAAGGGCAGCCCTAGCGCCCGTGACCGTCTGTCCCGTCGTAGAGCATGGCTTGCTACTTCTCTGCACGGTTCCACCCGCCTTTCAGTGCTTGCTGTTCTTTGCCTGGACTTTTCTTTTTTTCTTCTCCATCAGTCCATCGCTGTACTGAAAGCTCTTAGCAGATTTATGCACTTGTGATCGAGGACCCGGCTGCCGTGGGGAGCCCACGCTCTGTCGCAGGTCCCTCGCCCGGAGCTCTGCCGGTGCCCAAGGCTGGGGGCAAGCCGGCGGCTGTGGGACGGAGGGGTCAGTGTGGCGATCCCGGGGGCAGCGCCACGGAGGAAGACCCCGGCCACCGCCTCTCCCCGCCGATGACAAGTGCAGAGCCTGAGGGTGCCTCCCGCGGGCCGCCGGCCCCGCCACTCCTCGCGCTGTAAATACTTGTACAGTGTGTAAATCGCACGCGGGACCGAGACCCCCGCCGGGGCCAATCTCGCCGCCCGAGCACATCCGCCACCTTGCCTTCGTGCCTGCCAGGACCGGGGGCACGCAGCTCCCCCCGCCGGGCCGGGCCCCCAGCCCGAGTTGTGGCAATCTGCTGGACAGGGCGGGGGGACGGGGGGTGCAAAGACCGAGGGCCGAGCGCGGCTGGGCGCCGTTTCCAGCGGTAAGTGCGATGCCGGGTGCGCTCCCTCTGAACATTGTGACGGTGTGCGTGTCTGCTGTGCTCTGTGCCACCCGTAGTGACCCCGTACCGTGCCGTACCGTGCCGTACCGTGCCGTACCACCCCCGCCGCTGTGTCGTGACTCCCTCCCAGAAGCTGCCCCCTCACCAGGTGTTTCTGTGGGAACAGAATAAAAAGGACTTGACACAAACTAACGGACTGGCCCCGATTCTTGCCTGCCTGCAGTGTGCGGGGTGGAGGGACGGGACCCCTGGCATGGTGGGGTTGAGTGGAATGGGTCTAGTTGTCACCGAGCTCTGTTGAGCTCTGCCACCCACACCTGAGCTGCTAGAATGGGAGGTCCCTGTGGGCATCAAGGACCGGATCTCACCTCCCTGCCCATGCTGCTGGGTACGGTGGGCTCCCAAGGGCCCAATCCCCGTTTGGCTGGGCTGCTGGGAGGGGGGCCCCTGTGGGCACCAAAGACTCAATTCAACTCCCGTGACCAGGCGGCCAGGTCCCATGGGCCCCCAGTGATCCTCCTTGGCCAGGCAGCTAGGCTGGGGATCCCTGTGCCCCCCAAGGGCTCGACCTCCCTGGTCCTGCGCATGGAGCCCCTGTTCCGCAGGCACCGGGTGGATAAACCACCCCGGGGCGATCCAGAGGCTGCCCCGCGGGGGATCCTGTGTCCGGGATGGCCGCCGGGACACGCCGGGGGTGCGGGGGACCCCGGTGCCTGCGGCTGCAGAGCCGCCCGCGCCCACCGGAGGGCGCCTGAACGCGGGCGGTGGCCCGAGAGCCGCAGCCAATGGGAAGTGCCGCAGGCCGATGGCCCCTCCCCATCCCGGAAGTGCCAGCGCTGGCCCCGCCCCTGCCGCGAGGACATGGAGCCGCCGGTGAGGGGCTGGGGGGAGTGACGTCAGAGCCCCGGGACACCCCACCCCGGTCCCGCTGCCCCTTCCCCCTGTCCCTCCCCCGGGAGTCCCGTCCCGCACTGCCCCCGCCCCGCCCGACACGCCCCGACCCCACTGCCCCGCTGACCCTCCGCTTCGGCACACTCCGGCACCCTTCTAATCCCCCCACAGACCCCAGTTACTGCCCTCAGGACCCTCCTAGGTGTCTCTTGCACCCCAGAACCTTCACCCAGTATCCTGGTGCTCACTGGCACCTCAGCAACTGCTCCAGTACCCTCCTGATCCCCGCTATGTAGCCCCAGCTCTTCATGTGCAAACGCTGCCCCCAGTATCCCCCCAAAATCTCCCCCATCTATACTGGTGCCCCAGTAAGTGCCCTCTGTGCCCCATCCCCGGTCCGTGCCTCCCACCCCTCGCCCCACACGTCCCCACCCTGCATCCACCCCGGCGGGTCCCGCAGGTACAGCCACGTGCGGAGGAGCTATCGGAGCTGTACCGAGAGCTGAGCCAGCACCCGGGACTCAGCACCGCCTGCCTCGGCCCCGACCTCACCACCCAGTACGGGGGCAAGTACTGCAGCCTCTACACTGGTACGGGCAGGGGGAGGACTGGGGGGGCCCGCAGGGATCCGGGGAGTCCCTGCCTGGTGGGGATGCAGCTGGTGTCCTCACCCTGCTGCCCGCAGAGTGGTCRCAGCGGGACCTGGCAAGGGCTGAGAACATCAAGTTCTGCCGTCAGTACCTCATCTTCCACGATGGAGCCAGCATTGTCTACTCAGGACCCGCTGGCACCTGCTCTGAGATCAAGGGCGAGTGAGTTCCCATCCCACTCCACACAGGGTCCCTTGGGGTGCAGTGGGGGCTGATGGGCACCCACCCACTCACACACAGGCTACTGAGTCGTGAGTCCCCCAGCGGGACGCTGAAGGCCGTCCTGCGCAAGGTCCCTGGCAAGGAGAAGGAGAAGGAAAAGGAGAAGCAATTCCTGGAGGTGAGGAGGGGTCTGGGGAAAAATGGATACTCACAGGGGCTCGGGGCTGGATCCACACTGAGTCTTGCGGCCGCCCTGGCACCTCTGCCTACAGGTCTGGGATCAGAACCGCAAGGTGAAGAGCATTGACCTGACAGCGCTGGACAAGCATGGCAGCGTCTACGATGATGGTGAGCGGCTGGGGGATGCCAGGGAATGTGGGGTTCCAGGGGACAGGGTGTCTGGTGCTGACCTGCCCCTGCAGACCAGTTTGGGTGCCTTGCCTGGTCTCACTCGGAGACCCACCTGCTCTATGTGGCGGAGAAGAAGCGTCCCAAGGCTGAGTCCTTCTTCCAGAGCAAAGCCCCCGAGCTGGGCACCTCTGACGAGGACATGGGGCACCCCAAGAAGGAGGATGCACCCGTCAAGGTGRGGTCTCCCCACCCTGGGTCAGATGGGGGCTGGCTGTGAGGCTTTGGGGCTGATGGGGCTGTACCACAGGGCGAGCAGTTCGTGTACCATGATGACTGGGGGGAGACACTGAGCGCTCGCAGTGTGCCGGTCCTCTGCGTGCTGGACATCGAGGGCAACAGCATCTCAGTGCTGGAGGGCATCCCTGAGCACCTCTCTCCTGGCCAGGTCAGAATGGGGAGCTGTAGGAAACCAGAGAAGGGAGGTTCCAAGAGCCCGCAGCATTTTAAGCTGCTTTATCTCTCCTCTCCCCACAGGCTTTCTGGTCACCTGAGGACACTGGTGTGGTGTTCGTGGGCTGGTGGCACGAGCCCTTCCGYCTGGGGCTGCGGCACTGCACGAACCGCCAGTGAGTCCCTGTAGGGCACCCCACAGCCCAGTCCTGCTGATAAGACCCTACAGGGCACCCACCCGATAGCCTGGCCTCGTGGCCTCAGTATGACACCCCTCTGTGCCGGCAGGTCAGCGCTCTTCTACGTGGACCTAACGGGCGGGAGATGTGGTGAGTGGCGCATGCCTTGACACTACCGGTGCCCCGGCTCACTGCAGCCCCTCACCGTCCCCTCGTGCCCATGCAGAGCTGCTCTCTGAGGACACCAGGGCCGTGTGGTCACCACGACTCAGCCCCGACGGCTGCCGCATCGTCTACCTGGAGAACARTGTGCTGGGCCCCCACCAGCAGTGCAGCCGCCTCCGCATGGTGAGCAGAGGCACCAGGGGGACACTGGCAGGCACCAGTGTCAGGGTGTCTGTCTTGGGGTGGAGGCTGGCAGGAGGGCAGTTCCCCTTCCTTGGGCTGCAGCGGGGGCAGGCAGGCTGAGACCCTGCAAAAATTGATCCTGTGCCGTCTCTCCTGCAGTATGATTGGTACACCAAACACACCAGCACGGTGCTGGAYGCTGTGCCACGGCAAGCATGGGGTGAGTACAGCTCTGGAGGTGTTGGGGGGTACTCAGGGGTGTGCTGAGTGCTACCACTCTCATCACAGGTGCCTTCCCGGGAATCTATTGCGGTGCACTGCCAGGGATGTGCTGGGCAGCTGACAGCCGCAGGATCCTGCTGGACACRGCCCAGCGTAGCCAGCAGGTGAGGGGGTGACAGGGGACATATGGGGGCCCTGGCTGGGTCAGAGCTGCACTGGACTCTGCCCTTGTGCCCCTAGGATGTGTTTGTGGTGGACACGGCAACAGGCAGCACAACCTCGCTGACAGCTGGTGAGTGACAGGCCAAAGGGGCCATGCTGGTGCCAGGGGTGGGGAGAGTCACACCTGCAGTCACAACCCTCTTCTCCCCAGATGCCCCCCAGGGAAGCTGGTCTGTCCTCACCATCGACCGGGACCTCTTGGTGGCCAGGTTCTCCACCCCTAGCTGCCCCCCCATGTTGGTAAAGTCACGTCCCCTGCCCCCAGTGGCCACCAGCCCCTCAGCATGTGCACTGACCCCTCTCACCAGTGCCCACCAGCCCCTTGGTGTGGGCACTGACCCTCTCCCTGCACAGAAAGTGGCCGTCCTGCCCACCGCCAGCCATGAGGCACAGACACAGTGGATCTGCCTGCAGGACGCACCCCCCGTGCCCGGCATCAGCTGGAGCATCCGCACCCTGCAGCCCCCACCGGAGCAGGAGCACGCCCAGTATGGTGAGTGCTCAAGGCAGGGTCAGGCTGTGCTGCACCACCCTTACTGATCCCTGACACCCCCTCTGTGCCTCCACAGCGGGCCTGGACTTTGATGCCATCCTGATGCGCCCAAGCGAGGGTCCCACAGCCCAGAAGCCTCCCTTGGTCGTGATGCCCCATGGTAAGAGCTTGTCCCCACCCCACTGTACCCCAGCCAGGCAGCATCACCCCTTCTTTGCCTTTGCCCTTTGCAGGGGGTCCCCACTCTGTCTTCACAGCCGGATGGATGCTGTACCCGGCAGCGCTGTGCCGCGTGGGCTTTGCTGTGCTGCTGGGTGAGTGACACCAGGGCTCTGGGTGACACAGCACTCATGGAAGGGCCAGGGTGGGGGCAAAAGGAGGAAGGGCCCTGACACTGCCCCCCACACAGTGAATTACCGTGGCTCGCTGGGCTTTGGCCAGGACAGCGTGGCCTCCCTGCCAGGCAACGTGGGCACACAGGACGTACGTGATGTGCAGGTATGGCTGGCCCGTGGTCTTGTGGCACCCCGTTCTCCTGTGGGTGCCCTGAGCAGGCAAAGTGGGGCTGCTTGCTCAGTGGGTATTTCCCATCGTGGCAGCTCTGTGTGGAGCGGGTGCTGCAGGAGGAGACGCTGGATGCCAGCCGGGTGGCACTGGTCGGTGGYTCGCATGGGGGCTTCCTGGCGTGCCACCTCATCGGGCAGTTCCCTGACACCTACCACGCCTGCGTGGTCCGCAACCCCGTGGTGAACATCGCCTCCATGGTGGCTGCCACCGACATCCCAGACTGGTGAGTGCTGCTGCCCCAGCCTCCCAGGCTCCCTGCCATACTGGCACATGTGTCCCTAACTGTCTTGTCTGCAGGTGCCTGACAGAGACAGGGCTTCCCTACAAACCTGATGCCCTGCCAGACCCAGCCCAGTGGACAGAGATGCTGCACAAGTCACCCATGCGCTATATCGACCACGTATGTCCCTGTCCCCATCCCTGTCCTTGTCCCCAACAGCAGTGCCAGGGCTAAGGCTTGCTGTTCCTGCAGGTCCGTGCACCCGTGCTGCTGATGCTGGGGGAGGATGACCGGCGTGTGCCCCCCAAGCAGGGGCTGGAATATTACCGTGCCCTCAAGGCCCGGGGAGTGCCCACACGGTGAGTGGGGTGCTGAGGGCTTGAGCTATGGGGTGCAGACACAGCATTAATCCCTCTTTCCCCTCCAGGCTTCTCTGGTACCCAGGGAACAACCACGCGCTGGCTGGCGTCGAAGCGGAAGCTGATGGCTTCATGAACATGGCACTGTGGCTGCTCAAGCACCTACARTGCTAAGGGACTGCCCTGCTGCTAACCCCCAATAAATCATGTACTTCAGCACTTCAGTGTCTCTAGTGGTAGTGCTGGTACCAATGTCCTCTCCACTCTGTGGGCCAGGAGCTGGTGGCCACTGGACATTTCAGYTGCCCGGATGGGCAGTTGTGCTGCCAGGGATACATTGTGCCATGGGAAGGGTGACCTGTGCCCGGCTGTCCGGAGCAGCTGGAGGGCTGGCACCGCCTGGGGCGCTGGCGCCGGGCTGCTCCCTCGTGCCTTGGCAGGCGTCCCACTGTGGGCGGCAGGCGCCGGCAGCCCAGCCCGGTGGAGAGCAGCCCCATGGCTACAGGGACCGAGAGGAGTGTGGAGGTGGGCGAGGAGGCTCGCGGAGGCTGTGTGGGTGGGCACAGCCCCGTTTCGGGCGGTTAGCAGGGGCAGGGCGGTGAGCTTACCCCCCTGTCCAGCATGCCCTTTCCTTCATCCAGGCGGCCGATCGCCCTGCTGCCTGCTACCGGGAGCTGAACCGGTTCCCTGCCGTCACCCGTGCCGCCCTCAGGGCCGCGGCTGGCGGACAGACCTTCCTGCTCTACACCGGTGAGTGGCGGGCTCGGCTACCCCCGCGCCTTTGGCCCGCGGGCCCGGTGTGAGGGGGCGCTGACGGCCCCGTCCCTCAGAGTGCAGCCGCCCCGACCTGGCCCGCCGGCGGCTCCTGCGCTTCGGCCGCCACTACAGCCTACAGCGCACAGCCGGCCCTGAGGGCCTCGCCGTCAGCSGGACCGCGCTCAGCGCCGAGATCCACAACCAGTACGACACGGGCGGGCTGCGGGGTGGGACGCTGTGCCCGTGGCATGGCCAGTGCCTGTGGAGTTCCCAGGGCTCACAGCGCGGCCGGTACCCATATCGCTTCGCCCACCATAGCCTCGCTCCGTCCCGCCCTCAGGCTCCTCAGCCAGGACGCGCCCACGGGCCAGCGCCGCGCCGTGCTCAGCCGGTGCCCGCGGCAGGGCCACGAGCTGCTGGAGGTAACGCGGCTGTCCCGGTCACTCACCGGCCTGGCTGGAGTGCTAGTGCGGGGCGGGGGGCGCTGTGGACACTGTGCTGACCCCCGTCCCCTCAGGTGTGGGACAGCGGGGGACGCAGCCATAGCGTGGATCTCACGGCGCTGGGGAAGCACGGCGAGGTCTACACGGAGGGTAAGGCTCCTTCCCCATGGTCCCTGCCCACAGCAGGGGTGAGCCCTGGTACCTGCCCGGTGCCCAGTTGTGCCTGTGCCAGGCTGGGTTGTGGCACTCCCATGCCATGCCAGTGCCCTTTGCCTGCCTGGCCTGGTCACACTCGGAGAGACAGCTCGTCTACGTGGCTGAGAAAAGCCGGGCCAAACAACAGCCCCCCYGCGCTTGGGATGTACCGGGAGCAGCCTGGCCAGCAGCAGAGGATGAGGATGAGGAGGCAGGTGTCCTGTGTCCCATGAGTGCGTTCACTGCACCGCCAAGCATGCCATACACACTGTGAGCGTGGCATGTGCTCCATGGGTACACCATGTGCCCCTGAGCATGCTRTGCACCCCATGAGTGTGTCATACAACCCATGAGCATGTCATGGACAGAAGTCTATGCCCGGGGCCACTGGCCATAATGCTGACAGGTCTGTGCTACAGGGCAAGCAGTTTGTGTATCATGAAGACTGGGGAGAGGCCCTAAGCACACGCAGCGTGCCCGTCCTCTGCATCCTGGACCTGGCAGGCCTCTGCCTGTCAGTGCTGGAGGGAGTCCCGGAGCACCTCTCCCCTGGCCAGGTCAGGATGGGGGTGCACAGGGAGCATCCCAGGGGACCCAGCCTGGGGCTGTGGGATGAGCCTGGCTGTCGTACAGGCCCTGTGGTCCCCGGATGATCGTGGCGTGGTGTTCGTGGGCTGGTGGCATGACCCCTTCCGCCTGGGGCTGAACGCCTGCTCCAACAGGAGGTGGGTCCCAACCAGCATCCAGTGCCATGCTGGGATGCCCAGGCAGTATCAGCACAGGGGAGGTCCAGTGTGACCCACACTTTCTTCCCAGGGCAGGGATTTTCCACCTGGACCTGGCCAGCAGGTGCTGTGGTGAGCACTGGGGGCCCTAGGGGTGCTCTGGGGGTCCCTGGGATGCTGACCTCCTGCTACCCACAGAGCTGCTGTCAGCAGAGAATCGTTATGCCTGCTCCCCGCGGCTGAGCCCTGATGGCCAGCGCCTGCTCTACCTGGAGGGGGCTGTGGGGGGACCGCACCGGCAGTCCCTACGCCTGTGCATGGTGAGTTGGGCCCCAGGGACACTGGGGGTGGCTGTGTCACCCTGTGCTGCCAGCACTGTGCCCAGCCTGGGTGTCACAGCCTCTCACAGTGCCCAGCTCGGGGAGGKGTGTCCCCAATCCTCCCTGCCTTCAGTTTGCCCAGGTATGGGCCTATCCCTGACCGCTGGCTCACCGCAGCTCACCTGGCAGACAAGGCAGACAGTGACGGTGCTCGATGTGGTGCAGGAGCCCACTGAGGGTAAGCAAGACACGGTGGGCAGGGCTGAGTGCTGATGGGGGGCTGGGACCACCCCCTTCCAGGTACCCACAACCCCAGCTCACAGYCTTGCTCCACTTGCAGCCTTTGCCGGGCTCTATGCAGAGGTGCTGCCACCGCGGTGCTGGGCAGCTGACAGCCAGCGAGCCGTGCTGGGCACCCCTCAGCGGAGCCGCACAGTGAGTCCTGGGGATGGCAGGGCTAGGGACGTGACCCACAGACCCCATGATGACACTACTGTGGTCTGTGTCCTCACAGGACCTGCTGCTTGTGGATATAGAGGCAGCCACCGTCACCAACCTGACAGCAGGTACATGGTACTGGCTCACCCACAGTGCCCTAGTGAACAGCTATGATCACCAATGTGTTCTGTCCCCAGGGTCACCTGACGGGTGCTGGGAGCTGCTCACTCTGCAGTGGGATGTGCTGGTGGCCACCTGCTCRGCCCCAAACCACCCTCCCAGCCTGGTGAGCAAAGCCCTGGCACTGTGTGGCAGTGGGATGTGGCACAATGGGATATGGCATGGCGATGTACAGCCAGGCACAGCACAATGTGGCACACATGGTGTGGTGTGGGGTGGCACAGGGAGGCACAGTGTGGTGTGGCACAGCCAGATCCAATATGATGCAGCCTTGGCACAGCACAGCCTTGTCACAGCATGGCCCCAGTGCCATCCACTGCCTGTGCCCAGGTGGTGGCCGTGCTGCCATCAGCAGGCCAGGAGCTACACCTCAGCTGGGTGCCAGTGGAGGACACCCCAACAGTRCCTGGTGTCACCTGGAAGACTCTGATGGTCCAGCCACCCTGCAGTGGGCAGGGCCCTGCTGCACAGGGTGAGCCCCTGGGGGCCCCTGCTGYGCCTCAGTGCTGCCTGGGTGCTGGGGACCCCCGGGAGTGGGGTGTGTGCAGGGTGCTGGGTGCCCAGGGTGGTGACTGCTGAGTGGGACTCCTTCCCTGGCACAGACACCCAGACTTTTGAGGCCCTGCTGCTGAGCCCCTCAGATGGCACACCACCGCACCCCGTCATTGTGTGCCCCCATGGTGAGTGAGAGGATGGTGGGGACACCCTGGCAGTGCTGATGGCACCCCAGGTGATGTCCATGCTGGTCTCAGGTGGCCCCCATGCCGTCTTTGATGCCCGCTGGCGCCCAAGCATGGCTGCGCTGTGCCAGCTGGGCTTCGCCGTGCTCCTGGGTGAGTGCTGGGGAATTCAGGGACATGTGGCCCTGTGTCTTGGTGGAGACATGGCACCCACAGCCCTGTCTCCTCAGTGAACTACCGTGGCTCCCTGGGTTTCGGTCAGGCCAGCATCAGCTCCCTGCTTTCCCGTGTGGGTGAGCAGGATGTGGCAGACACTCAGGTGAGGAGTGCTGGGCTGAGGGTGCTGGGGGAATGCTGCTGGGAGGATGCTGATGTTTGGGTGCTGATGGTGGGTGCCACACGGGTGCAGCTGGCAGTGGAGCAGGCTCTGTGCAGAGAGCCCCTGGACCCACACCGCCTGGCCCTGCTGGCTGGCTCCCACGGAGCCTTCATTGCCCTCCATCTGCTCACCCGTGAGCCTGAGCGTTACCAAGCCTGTGCCCTGCGCAGCCCTGTTTCCAATCTGCCTGCACTGCTGGGCACCTCTGACATCCCCGACTGGTGAGTGCCACCCCCCACTCTTTGCTGTGCCACACCATGTCCCCATGTCACCCATCAGTGTCTCTGTGCTGTAGGCGTTACACCTCCCTGGGGCTGCCTTACTCCTTCGAGCGGGTGCCACATGCCAAGGATGTGGCTACCATGCTACTGCGCTCGCCCATTGCCCAGGCAGCCAAGGTAAGGCAGGGTCAGGATGGGTGTGGGGTGCCAGCTGTGGGGTGCCAGGCACCCACTGAGGGCAGTGCCGCAGGTGCAGACGCCGGTGTTGCTGTGTGTGGGTGCCCGGGACCGGCGTGTCAGCCCCACACAGTCATTGGAGCTGTACCGGGTGCTGCGGGCCAGGGGTGTGCCAGCACGGTGAGTGGGGTGCAAGTGGGAGCAGGGAGGGAACTCTGGGCTGCTGGATGAGCACACCCCCTATCCTGTCCCCTGCTACAGGCTGCTCTGGTACCCAGAGGGCAGCCACGCACTGACTGGTGTGGAGACAGAGGCTGATGTCTTCAAGAACTGTGCCCACTGGTTCCTCCGGCATCTGGGCCAGCCCAGGTGGGATGGGATAGGCCGGCACAGCCCCTAGTGCCCACAGTGGTCCTGGGCTACGCCAACCCCAGGGTGACTGCTGGCCCTGGGGACCACAGCAGGACCAGAGGCAGATGGAGCTGGTTTAGCCAGGGGCAGGTTAGCATGTGGGTTGGGGCTTGGTGTTAAATAAACGTGAGACCCTGTGCAGTGCCAACCCCTGTGGCTGTGGCTGTGCCTTTATTGTGCAATGGTGGCAGTGGCAGGCTGGGAATGCTGGCTTAGCCCATCTTCAGCCCATCTTCATCACCTTGTAGATCCAGTCAACATAGAGGGAAACGCGGATGAAGAGGGCGGGCTGGTCGGTGCGGGCACACACACGGGAGGGGGTGATCACCCCCTCCAACACCCAGCAGTCAGCGGTGAGGCAAGCCAGTGGTCCACCATAATCGCCCTGYGGCATGAAGAGAGCAGCGTGACCCTGGTGCCAGTACCTGCTGGCTCCCTGGGATGGGTGTGCCCAGCCTAGCTCACCTCACAGGCACCCACGCCAGCACGCAGCGGGGCAGTGCACAGCTCACTCTCCTTCAGGCGCCCACGCAGCGCTGTGTTGCACTCACTGTGGGCCAGCACTGGCAGCCGTGCCACGTTCAACACGCTGCCATCCGCTGTGCCTGCAGGCAGAGAGCATGGGGCAGTGGGCATGGGGTTCAGCGGTAGGGATATGGGGATACAGGGATACAGGGGAATGGCATGTGCAGGAGGATGTCATGGCAGGGGGATGTCAGAGGGATGTAGAAGGAAGATGTTGTGGAATAGGGATGCCTTGGACAGGCTAATACCATGGGCAAGGGATGCTGTGGGCAGGAGGCTGGAATGGGCACGAAAATGCCATGGAAGGGAGATGCTGTGAGCAGGAGTATGCCAGGGACCTGGGTGTTGCTGTGGGCAGGGGATACTTTGAGCAAGGGATGCTATRGGCAGGGAGATGCCATGGACATGGGGATGCTGTGGGCAGAGGATGCTGCGGGCAAGAGGATGGAATGATGTGGGCAGAGGCTGTATTGGACAGGGAATCCCCTGGCAGGGGCTGCCTGTGGCTGGTACCTCTGGTTTCCCCCCAGCCAGCGATCTCACAGACAGTCCCTGCAGGCACAACGTAGCGCTCCGGGGGCAAGCAGATCAGGGCCACACGCTTGGTCAGAGTGGCTGGCCTGTGGCAAGAGGGGCAGTTGGACATGGTGTCTGGCCAGTGGTGGAGCACAGCTGAGGCCRAGGAATGGCCACTCACCTTGCCAGCTTCAGCATCACCAGCTGGGACTCGGAGGGACCACAGACGATCCGCACGATGGGGATGGTCTGTTGGTCAGGGTCCCCAGGGCCAGGGTCCTTGAAGAGTGTCCCCAGCTGCACCTCATAGCCCGTCAGGTCAGCGTTGCTGCGGGACAGGGACATGAGGGCACAGGGGGTCCCAGCATCCCACGCCCCAGCCCCAGCCTTACCAGGAGGAGAAGCACTGGCGCGTGCTGATCACCCACTGCTCCTTCACCAGGGACCCCCCGCAGAAGTGCACACCGGCCCTGCAGGGATGGGGGTGAGCTCTGAGGGGACACTGACCACATGGCAGTGCAGATGGGACACCACTTACGGGGTGCGGATGCTGACAGTCCAGGGCGAGTTGCCAGGYTGGCCGCCGACAATGCGCCCTTTCTGCTGCAGCCTCTCGTCCCGCTGGCCACACTGCTCAAATGCCACCGCATCTGTGGGCAAGGGTGGGCATCAGCTGGGGCTGTGCCACCAGCACCTGCCACACGGTGCCCATCCAGCACCCATGGACCCCCACCTGCATTCTCTATGATGGAGGGCACCGTGCTGCCGGCTGCAGAGAGAAAAGAGGGTGGCATTGATGCAGGATCCAGCTACCCTGAGGGRACCAAAACCACCTGTGTGTGGCCAGGGTCCCCTCTAGCTCTGCAGGGATGTGGGTAGGGGCTCACAACAGGGCTTGATGGCACAGTAATCAAAGGGAGTGCGGGGGTCCATGGTGTAGCACCAGGGGCCGTGGCTGTCATTATCGGGGTTGCGGCAGTAGTTCTCCTCCAGGTGTGCCTCAGGGTGGGTGGTTGGTGAGATCCTACCAGGAGGAAGTGACCATCACTGTCACCATCCCCATCCTCACCTCCATCCCAGCCCCAACTCCATCTGCATCCCCATCTCCATCCCTGTCCCCATCACCCCCTCCTTGCACTCACTGGGGCACGTGGGGTGTCTGGGCAGCCCACGGCTGGCAGGTGATGCCCTTGCGCGTCTTGCTGATGTGGCCGTGGTAGTGCTTGCCGTGGCCGTGGTAGCACTCTGGGGACAGGCAGAGAGGGCTGGCACTCCTGGCAGGGACACCGGCATGGGCACCCAGGGACAGGTGCCTGGGGTGGCTCACCTTGGGCATCCTGCTCATCAGGGCAGCGGCGGATGTGGAAGCAGAAGGCAATGCGGAGGGTGGGGCGGGAAGTGAAGCACCACGGTGCCTCTGACCCATCGGGGTTGCGGCAATAGTTCTCCTGCAGGTCCCTGGGGGAGGGGTTGCGTGGTTGTCCTCCTTCAATCCCGTATCCATGGTGCTGCCTATCACCACCCTCCTGGGGTGCGTGGCCATCCCCTTACTTGCACAGGTACTTCTCAGGCACGAAGTGGTGCTTATGGGGCACCTGGGAGTCCCAGCGCTGGCAGGGAATCCCCGACACGGTGACGTTCATTTTGCCACGGTAGCCTTCACCCTTGCCCCTGAAGCAGCCGTGGGTGACGTTGACAGCCCGTGGGCGTTTTTCTGCTTGTGGCCAGAGAGAGGGGCAGAGCAGCAGGGTCAGGGTGGCACCCAGGACCCTCAGGCCCAGCTGTGCATGATGCTGGTGGGGACTTACTGCAGATGCGGATGCGGCAATATTCACGCTCCCGCCCAGGGTCAGTGGTGTAGCACCAGGGCCGCTCAGAGCTATCGGGGTTGCGGCAGTAGTTGTCATCCAGCCCCTTGTCGGGGTACCTGAGCCAGAGACAGGGAGCAGCAGTTGAGGTGGCACCGTCAGCCCAGCACAAGTAAGGGCATTGCACAGCTGGGGGCTGGGGGTTGGTACTTGTTGGGGTGGTAGGGGTGTTTGTGCGGGTGCTGCAGGTCCCAGCGCTGGCACTCCGTCCCCGACTCGGTGTGGTCCACGGTGCCACGGTAGTCCTCCCCATTGCAGGTCATGCAGACAGCTGCCAACAACTGCAGGGCTTAATGTGGGGGAACATACAGTACAAGGTAACACTGGGATGTGGCACTCACCATCCTCGCACTTCTTAATGCCGCAACTCTGGTGCCGGACATTGGGATCAACGGTGTAACACCATGGGCCCCGCTTGTCCCGGTCGGGGTTTCGGCAGTAATTCTCCTCCAGCYCATTGCGGGGGGATGGCAGGAACCTGCTGGCAGCAGAGTAGGTAGGAGGGCTGCTAGGAATCCTTTGCCCTGGAGTGGGCACAGCCAGGATGATATACTACCTCTGTCAGTGCCATTGCCCCTAAGCTGTCCCCATTGCTCCTGTGCTATCCCACACTGTCCCCATCCCATTCCCCAATGCCCCATGCTGCCCGGGGTAACTGGCAGGTGCCATGGGGCAGCCAGGGACATGGGGGCAACCTGTGATCATGCGGTGTCGTGGCTTGCCAATGCTGGCAGCGCAGCCCCTTCTCTGTTGTGGCCCGTGTGCCACGGTAGCTGGAGCCATCGCCCACRATGCAGTCCCGCAGGTAGTCTGAGAAGAGCCGGGCATCTCTTCAGAGCCCCGGGGCCAGGCCAATGAGGAGGCCTGTGCTCAGTCTGTGATGTCCCCATGCCCGCCCACGGCCACCAGCCCACCTTTCTTCTGGTAGAGGTCATAGCGGATGTTTTTCTGCAGCTGGATGCGGGGTGAATGCTGAGTCCAGGGCAGCAGCTGGCACAGCTGACTCTGCTGGTCATGGTGGAAAGCCCTGGGAAGCACAGTGGGAATCTGGCATGGCACTGTGCGAGGCCAAGGCCCATGGGGCCTGCCTGGGTCACACACGTGACCACCCAGTATCCAAGTGCAGAGAGTGACCCAGTGTTGTGGCCCCTGCACTTCCACCTGTGCCGTGGTGGCACTGTGTCCTGCTCACCGGCAAGCCAGGCTGGTGGCACAACGCTGGGCACACTGCTCTGCAGTGGCCTTCTCCAGCAGCGGTGGCGGTGAGTCCAGGGGCTCTGCCAGCAGCTCCGTGGCTCGCAGGCGCTGGAAATCATTAAGGGGCGAGCGGTGGCCTGGGGAGTGCGGCAGAAGCTCAGCATGCCCATGGGAGCACAGTGTGAGCACTGGGGCCCTGTGRAGTGTGGGATGCCTGCCCTACGATCAGGATATCGCTGTCCCACAGAGCATGTGCTCCCTGCTCCAGAACATAGGATCCATGTCCCATGCAGGAGGTGATCTCTGTCCTACGGAGCAGGGGATCCAGGTCCTATGGAGCAGGGGATCCCTGTCTTATGTCCTGATCCATGTGCCGTGGAGCAGGAGGGCCCTTCCCCTACATCACCCGCTGCAGTCCCCTGCTTCCGGGTGCCCCTCTCTGCTGTGGGACAGAGCATGGCCTGCAGGCTCCCGGCCTGGCCCCTGGCCCTGTCCCGGGCCCCGCACTGCCCCGCGCCCTCCAGCCCCACGGCGACCCAGCCTGGGGCCCTACCTGAGCCCAGAGCCGCGGCCAGGGCGAGCAGGACCCCYAGCACGGGCTGCATGGCGGCGGCCCCGCGTCCCCGGGCCGCTGGAGCTCCGGGACGGCCCCGAGCAAATATTTGCGGTCGGGCGCGGGGCCAGGCGGGGCCGGGATCACCCCGCGGCGGGCACGCGTGGGGCGGGGCGGGGCCAGTGCAGGGGGCGGAGCGTATGCGTCGGAGGCGTGGCCTGGTGCGGCGGGGCGGGGCCAGGCTGGACCGGGGTCACCCCGGGGCGGGCACGTGCGGGGGGCGGGGCCTGAGTG